TCGCTTAATAATGAGAGACAAACAGCAGCAGAAGTAATGAGTGTCTCTTTGATTACCGCTGCTGTGTTTAGGTGCTCTGGGGTACATGCTTTGGTTCGACCCGCCTTAAGATAAGTTCGTGGCCACCCTGATGTCATGTCACGTCACCCAACTTGTTGATTAATGCACTCATATTTATTTTTTTAAGCATAGGGGATGTCCCTTCTTCCTTCTGTCTCTTTCGAACTAGCAATGGCTTAGCAGCAGCCAAGAAAATGCACATAGCATGTTCATAGCTAGATATGTACTCTTTGTATTCATGTTGCTTTCATAGTTTTGAAAAACTTGCATATTATTTTCAGTGGGTTTACATTACCATTCAAAATAGGTCGGTAAGCTTTTTATTTTTTTATGTTTTTGAAATAAGCCTCTTATACTAAAGACAAATGACTGTTTTCTATTTTCATATATTTTGAAATGTAATTCATGTAATTATTTTCAGCAGCCATTATTTCAGTATTCGGTGTCACATGATCCTTCAGAAATCATACTATGCTGATTTGGTGCTCAACTATTTTTAATGAATAAAACGTTCAAAAGAACATCCTTTATTTGAAATAGAAATCTTTTGTAACATTATAAATGTATTTAATACATCCTTGCTGAATTGAATTCATGAATACATGAGTGTATGCAATGTAAGCATTTTCAAAAAGAAAATAAAAAATTGTGAGGGAGGATGTATCACCCTGACATTTTTTTCCCCCCCTGAAAAAATATTAATGTGAATTTTAATTCAGAAATTTAAAACGTACTCATCAGAGTTCAGGTCATTGTGTGTATGAATTGCATTTTTAAAGTATCTTTAAAGGGGTGGTTCACTGGTTTTTTTCTAGGCTTGATTGTGTTTATGGGGTGCAGTATAACATGTTAATTCTCAGTTTTAAAAAAAACATATTTTTTACATAATTTACCTTTATTCCACACCGCTCTGTCCCTTCTTTGAGAAACGTGCTGATCATTTCCTGCTTAGGCGATGGGCTCTGATTAATTAGCTAGCCCAGTGTGTTGTGATTGGCTAAACCGCCTCTAGTCCCTCCCCTCACCTCAGCGGCATGTGCTCCGGTTGTATTGTAAACAACGGCGTCATTAATGTCGCTTATCAGTTTGAGCCTGATTGAGAAGCAGAGGATATTATTGAAGTGGATCGTGCAGAACCTTTTAATGGTAGGGCTATGTTTTTTGTTTGTTGTTGTCTCATACTTTTAGATATGCTGTTATTTATTTGTAAATGCTACTGCTTATGTTAGTTTTAATATACGGTTTTATCCTGGTTAAAGCTTTAATACAGTACGGCAAATGCACGCGCATCCATGTTTAACGCTTCACATAGCTATGTGAAAATAAGTGTATAATTGGAACAGTTCATTGTTGGAGCTGAGCTGAATGAGAGATAGAGGGAGAGAGAGATGCAGAGCATGTGCAGAGCAGGGGGACGCGAGGAACAGTATTAAGAACCGCTGCTTTAGAACATTGATTTTGAAACTTGTGAATCCATTAGAATCGTTA